ATCATGGCCCGGAAAAAACCAGAAAACACAATGACGACAAGATGAAAGTTTTATAAAGCAAATTAATCGGCCAACGGGCCGAGTAAAAGCTAGCAACGATTTGAGATGCTCATTTCCCGAAAACCGGCGGGATAAGCGATTTTTTATTCAATTTTCTGGAATTCGGTTTATATAAAACTTACTCCACCTCATCATATTACCAGAAACAATATTGTTTCATAAGGTAACAGGTACTTAATTTTGGTTCATAAGGCTGATTTTTTATTCGTTGCATCATTCATGTCTCTGTCCTACTAAAATTCACTATTTTTATAACGTGTTCCAAAAAAAACTATACAACAATAAGATAAACACCCTATTACATTATCAAATTTCATACCTCACCTTCCTGTCTTCAACTTGCCGGGCAACGCAACATATTATTTGTGGTTAACTTTGGCAACGTTTCTAATTATTATAATGGAAATTGGGGTTCATCCCCAATTAATGCATTCGAGTTTTTAATGGAAAACTGGAATTGATTCCAAATTAATGAACTTGAGGCTTGAGCCGATAGTTACTCCATGTGATCATGACACATGATCAATAACTCCTTTCTTTCAATGTTTCCTTTATGAAATGCAACATTTCCCTTGTATTTGTTTTAGAGAGTTATTCCGAAATAAAATGGTAAGATACGGATATATACATGATTTTTTGTAGGTTAAAACTAAAAAGAAATTTTACCAAAAAAACTAAAAGAAATAAGAAAATACATTGGTTAACAAGACGCTGAACGAACGATGAGAGATATTTTTTATGACAACGTAAAAAGAAATGAAGCACGCTAGCGAGATGGTGAAAAGTAAAAAAGAGAAGATTTTTCACTTTACAAGACTGGCCATTGTCAATCTCCACTAAATATTAGGCTTGGGAAATTGGTTTTGTCTTCAGCTTAATCTGAAACGGAACCGATAATGAACATATTGGTTTGGGTTTTTTGGTTTCAATCGGGTTGTAACTTATCAATTTCAGTTTTAACCAAAAACCCGATAAAACCTGAAATTGAAAACTATAGTTGAGGGATGCGTGAGGTTTCGATTTTTGGTTCGTTATAACCGAAACCGAACCCAATAAGGTTTTATAGGACTTCGATTAACCAAAAACCGATAAGGTCTTAATGAGTTCGATTTTGGTTTGGGGGCACATACTAATCTGATTGTTGGATTTTTAAACGGTCTCAGGTAATAGGTACTTAATTTTGGTTCATAAGGCTGATTTTTTATTCGTTGCATCATACATGTCTCTTTCCTACTAAAATTCACTATTTTTATAACGTGTTTCCAAAAAAAAAATTATACAACAATAAGCTATACACCCTATTACATTATCAAATTTCATACCTCACATCCCTGCGGTCAACTGGCCGGGGCCACGCAACATATTATTTGTGGTGAACTTTGGCAACGTTTCTTTTTTTTTCCGCATTTGAAGGAGGCCGAAGCCGAGAAGGAGATACAACGAGAGACTAGAGAGGGGTGGATGAGGGAATTACAATGCGACGCTGGAAAGTAACTCCTATCATATCATCTCTTAGAACTTGGCTAAGCCCGCTTGGTGGGTCTGCAAGTTCATACAGACCGTAGGGATAGACGAGACTGTGCTTCGAGAGCTAGTCCGCGGCTCTATTCCCTTCCCTGTATGTATGAACAATACGAACCAACCAGTTGCGACTAATTTTCCTGCGAATACCTGCTATGAGAGTGGCATAAGGGTGTATCGGGTCGTGTCTTTTTCTCAATTAGCTGGATGGCGAGCTGAGAGTCCGATTCAATTTTAATCGCCCTGTGGCCTTCCTTCCAGGCTAGCTCCATTCCATGACTGAAAGCCCAGAGCTCCGCTAAAACTGCAGTGGCAGCACCCAAATTAGCCACAAAACCCTTCAACCAATTCCCTGTCTCGTCGCGCAAGAGGCCCCCTGCACCAGCCGGCCGTGGATTGCCGTTAGAAGCACCTTCAATATTCAGAGTAACCCAGCCGCTCTCCGGACCGCCCCATCCAATGTCTGCCATCCCCCGGGTCGCCGGCCTGTTCCTGTTGTCTTGAAGAAGGACGGGTGAGTGCCACGAGTCATTCCAGAGCTTAGTTTTGGCGATGATGGAGAACTCCAAAGTTGGGGGTAGGGATGGCAATGGGTCGGGTTGGGTCGGGTTTTGCCAAACCCAAACCCAAACCCATGGGTTTATTAGTGAAAAAAACCGGGGTAAAACCCACTGGGTTTGAAAAACTCAAACCCAACCCAACCCGCTGGGTATCCGCGGGTTCATGGGTACCCATGGGTTTTTGTCGTAAAAAATTTACAATAACAAGTTCCTATCAAAATTAAAGTCAAATATCAATCTCTCAATACAAATTATCCATATTTAAAACACCATTCTAGAAAATTCAAGCAAATCACAAATTAACTATACAAATTGTTCAACACCAATCTAGAAAACTCAAGAAAATTGAAGTAAATCATAAATTATCCATAAATAACATATTAATTGAAGCCTTCTTCCTTTCAATTAAGTTTTTTCACTCTCCACTCGATAACACAAACTTCATTCTACACAATTAGAAAGAAAAAATTAGACATGTCTCCACAAACATAAATAAGATTAGTTGTTTAAAATATTAAATATACCGAGAAAATTAATTATATGTGTGGGCGGGTACCCACGGGTCGGGTTTACCTAAACCCAAACCCAATCCAACCCGATGAATAGTGAACGGGTTTAAACCCAAACCCGACCCAAAACCCGTCAACACGGATTTTACCCGCGTTGACCGGGTTGGGTCGGGTGGGTACCCGTGGGTTCGGGTTTGGTTGCCATCCCTAGTTGGGGGTGACATGGCCGCCCCAACCCCTTTGAAGCACATCGTCGGAGCACTTCTACTATGCTATATAGCATTGGTGCTTTAATGTACAACTTGAAGTTGTACCATAACATTAAATGTATAAGTTTAGGTTGTACCATAAAAGAATTTGTATCATTATGTTATGGTACAACTTTACAACTTAAAGTTGTACCATCACATAAGGTACAAGTTTAAGTTGTACCATAAAAAAATTTGTATAAAAAGTATAGGTACAATATGAAGTTGTACAACAACGTTAAAGGTACAATTTCAAGTTGTACCATAAAGGCAAAAACCTATAGCACCAATGCTATATAGCATTGTAAAATTCCTCACATCGTCGTACGGTTCTTCCAAATCAACATTGGCAACGTTTCTAATTATTATAATGGAAATTGGGGTTGATCCCAATTAATGCATTCGAGTTTTTAATGGAAAACTGGAATTGATTCCAAATTAATGAACTTGAGGCTTGAGCCGATAGTTACTCCATGTGATCATGACACATGATCAATAACTCTTTTCTTTAAATGTTTCCTTTATGAAATGCAACATTTCCTTTGTATTTATTTTAGAGAGTTATTCCAAAATAGAATGGTAAGATACGGATATATACATGATTTTTTGTAGGTTAAAACTAAAAAAAATTATAAAAAAAAACTAAAAAGAAATAAAGAAATACATTGGTTAACAAGACGCTGAGCGAACGATGAAAGGTATTTTTTTTATGACAACGTAAAAAGAAATGAAGCACGCTAACGAGATGGTGAAAAGTAAAAAAAGAGAAGATTTTTCACTTTACAAGACTGCCAATTGTCAATCTCCACTAAATATTAGGCTTGGGAAATTGGTTTCGTCTTCAGTTTAATCTGAAAATGAACCGATAAGGAACATATTGGTTTGGGTTTTTGGGTTTCAATCGGGTTGTAACTTATCAATTTCAGTTTTAACCAAAAACCCGATAAAAACCAGAAACTGAAAACTATAGTTGAGGGATGCGGGAGGTTTCGATTTTTGGTTCGTTATAACCGAAACCGAACCCAATAAGGTCTTATAGGACTTCGATTAACCAAAAACCGATAAGGTCTTAATGTGTTCGATTTTGGTTTGGGCGCACATACTAATCTGATTGTTGGATTTTTAACGGTCTCAGTTCGGTTAGTAGAACCAAACCGACCCGACCCGACCCCCCTACTAGTAAATAGATAATCAGTCTAAAGTCTAAACAGTTAAAAACGTCGTCGTGGAAGCTCAGAGAAGAGACAGAAGTGGTATTTGTCACCGTCATTTCGTTTTCTCATCAAAGTTCCCGTTCAAAATCAATGCCGTTTTCCTCATCTTCCTTTCTTTCTTCGTTTCTTAATATTAACAAATGCACCAAACTGTAAAAAGAAAAAAGGCCAAAAAACGAAACCCCTCTCTCTCTCTCACTCCCATCGATTTGACCTTCCCAATTCTCTCCCATCACAGCGCGCCAGCAGCTCGCACTCGTCTCCCACCTTCTTTCTCCCTGCAATTTCCCCCATAGTTTTTTTTCCGTCTGGAGTTTCTTTCTCCCGTCTCCCTCTCTCGCTTTCAAGTGTCTCACATCACAGGTCCGTCTCCTTCCGTACTCTTCCTCTGTTCACAATCACTGTGCGTTTGCTGCTCCTTTTTTATACGTATGTGATTCACCGCCGACTGTCCTGATCATCCGAATTGCGGATCCTTTGATTGGGGCGGCATCAGTAGTAGATCTAGGGTTTGTACGAGTTGGAATTATTTTTAGCATTCCCTTTTCTCCCGTTCAATTCTGATTTCCGTTTCGCTTTTGCAGGTTTCTCGAGCTGTTTTTTTCCCCCGGTCACTGCGTCGCGGGAGTTTTTTTTTTCTTCGTTGGAGTGGGCTCGAGCTAAAGGAGGTAATGTGTTTGACATTTCCGTAACTTGATTGATTGATTGGTTGGTTGGTGCGAAAAAAGATAGACTTGTTTACGTAGTGTGATTGATTTTGTAAATAAAATGGTAGATCTGGATCAGGGGCGGGGAGAATTCGGCGAGCGTTCTGAAGCAGCAGAACGGGTTGAACTGACGAAAGTAGTGAAGAGAGGCGGTTTTCAGGGGGAGGAGGAGACGGTGAAGATGAGTGAGGGCCAGAAGTTCCAGTTGGGGACGGTGGGTGCTTTGAGCTTGTCGGTGGTCTCGTCTGTCTCCATTGTCATTTGCAACAAGGCGCTCATTAGCACTCTCGGTTTCACTTTTGGTGAGTGATGTGTTAATTCTTACTTAGCACTCCTTCATCCTCCCAAAAATTCTATCGCTTTTTATGTATTTTGGGGAACTTCCTGTTGGTTTGTATAATGCTGAATGCCATTTTGGGACTTCCGAGACGAGCTTGAATTAGGAAGGCTGTGACATTTTCTGTGTCGGTATTGGGTAGTAGGTCGTCTAAGGTATGTTGCTGAAATGATAAAGTTGTCAGTTTGTGTGAAGGCACTGCCTAGCGTAACAGGGAACTCCCCATTGCTTTTGACCTTAATTGAAATCTGCTTGAATGAATTCACCGCCAATGCCTTCTTGAGTCCTATTCTGTCATTGTTTTCTTATAGAACTATCCTGAGTCAGTAGGTAAGGACCAATATGGTTTTGTGTGCAAATGTGATGTCGATAAGGGCTGAGCTTGGTATGCTTCATATTCAAGGTGAACCATTGTGATGGATTGTGTAGTATTTTTTACCATGACATATTACCATTTTGGTTTCTTGGTATGCTTTTGGAGATATTTCTGGAAACTGTTTGCTAGTCATTTATGGCTAAATTATCTCTTGGAGCTGTTTTTTTTTTTTTAAATTTCTTTTGCCCTCTTGCTTTACATATCAGATCTGGGGTCTCTGAAAGCAGTTCTTCAGATATAACTTTTCTGGAGTTACTTTACGTTGGATCCATTTATTGATGCCTGCTGATTACAGCAGTTGGGAAGCATTCATGTGCTTTAGGAATTGTTAGACGTATCAATAAAGGTGCTAACCATAAAAAAAATGTGCTCTTTAATTTGATAAAGCGGAATCAATCAAGTATTAGCATCTACATGGTGTCTTTAATTTTATGAACATGTCAATAAAGGTATTAAGCATCTACGAGGTGCTCATCTAAATTATAGTTGCTTCATTTGTTGCATAACTGGTTGTCATTGTAGTATATTTTCAATATTTAACTTTCTTATGTTAATTCTCTCCTTGCAGCGACGACATTAACAAGCTGGCATCTTTTGGTCACATTTTGCTCCCTTCATGTGGCGTTATGGATGAAATTGTTTGAGCACAAGCCTTTCGATGCAAGGGCAGTAATGGGGTTTGGCATATTGAATGGGATTTCCATTGGACTTTTAAATCTTAGCTTGGGTTTCAATTCTGTTGGTTTCTACCAGGTAAAACCTTTATTCCTATATTAGCTCCATATTATTTTCCTAATAACTACCACATTTAAAAAGTTCAAGTACATTGCCACAACTTTCTTCGCAATGAAACTGTATGGTCTAAAATAGGCTATCTAACAGGTTGCCTTAAATGGTTCCCTCACATTTGCTTGTGGCTTAAAATAATGTATCTGGGGAAGAAGAGCGAAGAGACTCTATAAGGGCTGAGATTATCTTCTTTGTAGCTCAATAACTGTATATTCAGGTTGCCTTAAATGGTTCCCTCAGTGACCTTTTTAAGCCAGCAAAACGATCAGAAACTTTGCATGACACCCTGTACGGGGACTTTGTTGATTTTCCTAAATTTTTTTATAAGAGTTGATTTTCCTAATTATGTTAAAATGATTTCTTATAATTTCTAAAGTTTTGCGGATTGTTACTTTCTGAATATGCTCCTTTTGTTTGACATCTTAGATGACAAAATTAGCAATCATTCCTTGCACCGTCCTGCTGGAGACCCTGTTCTTCAGGAAGCTATTCAGGTGAATTTCGATCTTCAAATAGCAAAATGATTGACTGGTTTAACCCTGTTTGATGCAAGTCAATAAATCTTGTTGCTCTCTGCATCTACCTGAAATGGGAACTGTAAGGCGTTAAATTTTTCTTGCAATTATTGTTGATATTCATCTGCAGAATGTATTAGTGGGTCTGACTGTGTTGTTTCTGTTATTGCCTCAGTTTGTCAGTTAATTTGGAATAAATGTTTTGCTATTCTGATTATGTGCTGATAATTATTGCATCGTTGCAGTCGAAATATCCAGTTTTCACTACTGATCCTCCTTCTGGGTGTTGGAATTGCAACTGTGACTGATCTACAGCTCAATATGTTGGGCTCTGTCTTATCACTGCTTGCAGTTCTTACTACCTGCATTGCTCAGATTGTATCCTTGACCTATTCGCTTTGTTATTACTACATTGATGTTGTTTTGTCCTCTTTTGCTGCACTTGTTGTCAAACCCTTAACCCGATGATCTCAGATGACAAATACCATCCAGAAGAAGTTCAAAGTTTCTTCAACCCAGCTTTTGTATCAATCTTGCCCCTATCAGGCTTTAACTCTGTTCATCGTCGGTCCATTTCTAGATGGGCTCCTAACGAACCAAAATGTTTTTGCTTTCAAGTACACCCCTCAAGTCCTGGTAAGCATGGAAGAATATCCAAATCCATTTCCTTTCCAGAGTGGGCCTTTTGCTATCTTACTTCTAATCCAATTGCACCTTTCAATTTTTGGTTGCAGTTCTTCATCGTTCTCTCGTGCTTGATATCGGTCTCTGTAAATTTCAGTACATTTCTGGTAATTGGAAAGACATCTCCAGTCACCTATCAGGTCCTCGGTCACTTAAAAACATGCCTAGTCTTGGCCTTTGGCTATGTTCTGCTTAAAGACCCGTTTAGCTGGAGGAACATTTTAGGCATCCTTATTGCTGTAGTTGGAATGGTGCTGTATTCCTACTGTTGCACGTTGGAGACCCAGCAGAAGTCTCAAGAGCCCTCAGCCAAACAGCCTGAGGTAATAATTTCCCGCTTCTACTGTTCCATGTGCATCGCTTTTGAGTTACTAACATTTCACTTCACTGTTATTGATTTCGGTACAGGGGAACGAAAACGAATCGGACCCTCTAATAAACGCGGAAAATGGAAGCGGAATGACAGCCGATGGTGGTGCCATAATGGCCCCCGCATGGAAGTCGAACAAGGACCTGCATGCATGAAGGGCGTCGTTCCCCCTCAGGTTCTGCAGTGCAGATATATTCACCCTGAAGATAGAGATAAACCGTAGACTAAAACTGTTTCCAGCGATGAAGATGTTGCTGGGGAGGAAAGGGGTGTCTTATGTTTTGATGATGGCATAGGAGCAGAGAGCAAGTTGGCAGGCCACTCTGAAGAATGAAGATCGCTACTTTATTTTTATGTATGGAGAGACTTTGAAAAGAGTTGGGAAGGAAATGTGGCGTTGATATAGTAATTTTTTTTACTGGTTAGTTTTTATACTGTTAGTTCCTTACGGACTGGTTAAACTTCTACAATGTAGTTCTTTCTCGATAAAATGGGTTATTCTCCTATCAGGAGGGCAGGGGAGTCTCTTTTGGCTGGAAAGACGGTAGGCGAGTTGAGGCTCGGGGTTGAGTACACTTTGGTTCGACCTAGTGTTTGGGTTGAGTGTTATTTCGACAGGAGCTTCTGATATTTGATTCTTCCTAACTCCTGCAATCAATCGCCTCTAAGACCCCTGCCTCGGTTGGAACTTGGAATGGTTAGGTTGGTCTCTCGCAAATCTCAACAACGGCCACGACACAAACATTTGTCGTTGAGAACCATGGCTCCCTGATGCAATTGGCCTTTTTTGTTGTTGTTGGAAATGATGAAAAGGGAATTCAATTTCCATGTCATAATAAATGTTTTCTCGGGAAATTGAAGAATTTGAAAAGGGCAAAAGGATGCTTCGAACATGCACTATATACAGCCAAGCCAACCTTTACTATTCGATCCATCTTCCATCTTTCACAACTCAAAAGTCACTTTACCATTTCGCAGCAGGCACACCCCAGACCCAGTAAACAATCCCCCGAAGCAGATACGAGATTTGGAGAATGTCGGACCACATTCCCTCTGGAGTCGTCAGAGATATTCTGGGCCGCCCTCACCGTGGGAGCTGGGCAAGTTGAGGTGCGTGAACAAGGAATGGAGATCCATAATAGACGATCCCGATTTCATCCAAGGCCAACACCGGCGCTTTACGTCCCTGTTCTTCAGCTGGTGGGGAGAAGCGGTCGTTCTCCGTTCCAGGCCGGGCACTTTTGGTCCCGGTGGAGTGCCTTTGCCTTTGACCTACTTCGTAGACCACATCATCATGGGTTCATACCATGGCTTGCTCTGCCTAGGCGACTATCAGTACCAACTCCTTTTGTTCAATCCAGCTTTCCCGGAGGAGATGCGACTAGTGACATTGTTGGACTTCATGAGGGCAGAACCATCATTGGGTTACCTGTTCGAGAACGGCTCTTTTCAATCTGACCTTGTTCACTGGAAGGCTTACGGGTTCGGGTACGATAAGGTGGCTAGCGACTACAAGGCCGTTGTATTGTTATTGGTAAAGGAATGTGACAGAGGCAAAGTCTACATTCTAACTTACCAATTCGGCACCAAGTCTTTTAGGTGTTTGCAGGTCAATAAGTTCCTTCACCAGTTATATCGCCAGAGGCTGGGCGTGCTCCTCAGCGGTGCTTTGCATTGGATCACAGGAGGCTTTGAATTCAATTCAGATGTCTCCGACTCTATCACCGAATTCCGGCAGCCAGATTACAGTGGTGATAAAGAAGGGAGCCTGTCTTGTTTTAAGAGTGTTGGGGTGGTGGACTCGTGCTTGTCTGTGTTCGCTACCTTCATCGGATCGGATGGCTTGATGTTTGGATAATGAAGGAATACGGAAAGGAGGATTCATGGTGCAGGCTATACGGAAAGGAGTAGATTCGGTGGCCTAATTGTTTCGTTTGGATGATTTTATTTCAAAAAAATTGTATTAGAAATCTAAGGGGTCGTTTGCTTCAAGGATTGTAAAATGAGGGTTTTTACTTAGATGTGGGATTTAAAAATCTAAGGTTTTATTTGGAATTTGGGGCATTATGGATTTGAAAAAATCCTTTGTTTGTTTTCTCATTTTGATCATGGATTTAATGATTTGGGATTTAGAAATAAAAATCTACATTTACCTTATTGCCCTTTTTTTTAACCCATTAAAAGGAAGGGATTGCCGTTGTTTTTTGTTTCCCTTCTTTACTTGTTAGCAGCTACAAAAGCCTTCTCATAAAATATACTCGATGGCACGAGCAGCTGATACAAGCACCAAAAGATACAAGAACTAGTTCAATGTGAAAATGGCAGAATTCAGAGGGTGCATTAACTACTAAAATCCAGGAACAAACAAATATAATGCCATAATCATGCATAAAGTATACTGATTCGATCATGATCATTGCTCTGTTATTAACAGACAAAAGCCCTTACCTAAGGTGTCATATAATGAAACACAGTACAGTCCAAGAACATTTTGCTGTAGAGAACCAAAAATTGCCAATTGGTTTGGCTGCTTCTTCACAAAAGATTCTTGCATTTCAATTGCTCGCCCTTGGAAAAGTACTGCTCATAACAATCATTATTTGTAGAGAGAGGCATATTTGTTGTTTGTCTCAGAGAGGAAATTGTGAGCAGTTAATTGTATGTATATGGTTTCTATGATTTTCAAAAGCTCACCAAAGAAAATGGACTCAACGCAAAGAAGGGAGTGTCCTGCTTACCTGGGTTTTGGGTTCAGCGTCGGAGATTGATGCCGGCTGCACGCGGACTCAACGTCGGCCGAAGAATTCCTTTGTTGGTGGGGGCTGCAATTTTCCAGGAAAGGAACTGAAGAACTCTTCGCAGCTTCCTTGGTTTGGTGTGTAAAGAATGAGAATGAGAAGTAGAAGCGACAGATATGGTGGGGATAAAGAGGGCAATTTTGGTTTAATGAAAAAGAATGAGGATAAGAGTGTCAATTGGCCTCTTGGTTTTTCAGCACATCACCAATTCCCTAATAATCATGTGGGATTTGTAAAGCTGTGGGCCCCACGGATTTGGAGGGAAAAAAAAACCTAAATCTGTGGGGCCCACGGATTTGTTTCAACATTTTTTAACCAAGCAAACAAAGGATTGTATGTAAATCCTTGATAGTTAGTTTTTTAGTACCAAATCCATGATGCAAATCCTTGAAGCAAACGACCCCTAAATGATGCACTAGTTCTAAAGGTGATATTTCTAAGTTATTTGGAGTTTGCAACATAACATGGTACTTGATTCTGAATTATCATGATTGAAGTGTTGTTTTACATGTGGTATAGCCCAAATGACTAATCCTAGTGCTCCACCAACCAAATTTTAATGCACCTCCACATCGGAACTCTGTGCCATTAGAATCTTCATCCTCCGCCCTCAACGGCCAAATCCCTTGACTCGACTGTCACACCTGCCTCGATTCCTTCTCCTCCACTCATAGCCTCGCTAAGTGCATATCTATTGCATACTTTGAAACCTTCTTTTCTTATCCTTCTTTATATACAACATCGGTCTCCTTGACTTTGTATTTTGACCTCATCTTCATTGCCATCCATTAGTTTGACCTTGATCCAAAAATTCTGGACATATTTGATGTGCGTCTATGAAGTGCAAAACCAAAAGACAAAGTTCATCTTCTATATTTGCATGTCAGAGACAATGTTTGTGGTAGAACAAAAAATAAAAAGATAATCAACCAATTATTTTGGATTATTCATTCTTAGTACTTACTAGTCGATTAGTTGGTTGGCCAACACTTAACCGATAACCGATTATCAGTTAACCAATCAACATAAATGATGTAGTTAGCCAATAAGCATAAATTGATCAAAGGTTAATCGATAAACGGATAAATGATTACGTTTATAACCGAACCGACTAACAAGCATACACTCCTACTGGAAAAAAGGGAAAGAAGAAGAAATTTGTTTTGTCCTCGGGCCTCATCTACGACAAGGGAAAAAAATTTCTTTACTTATTATCTCCTAATCTCTAAAATTATCTCTAACCTAGTAACCCTAACAAATTTATCCGATAATTTTAAAAGTGAACCATAAATGTCTTATTTGAAAAATGGGGCCAAAACTGTCACTAACGTTATGCTGGGTATTAACCCTAAAAAAAATTACCGTGAGATGGAGTCCGAGTGGTAGAAGGAAATCCTAGTCCGAGCTGCCAACGGGCTTGCTTTTCCTTTCCCGCACCGGAAACCAAATTGAAGAAAGGAAACCGAAGAAATTCAGACGACGACCCCACTCCCTATAAAGAGTGATTTCTACATCAGCCTCTTGCTCTTTTGCCGCCCCGCAAATACGTACACTCTTCCAAACAAAACAGTAATTACTGAAAATGTCGACAGTGGCGGCATCCGCAAGGGCAGAAACAGCAGGCCACGAGATATTCGTTTCCCTCCTCCCCGCCGGCGGACCTCCAACACCACTCTCCAACAACTCCATCTCTTCCCAACTACTCTTCGTCACCCAGGTCGATCGCATCTACCAGCCCCGCGGCACCACAACACCGTCACCAGCGAAACCATCATCATCATTGCCCAGGCAGATAGTGGTGGAATCACATCGCTCCAGATTCACAATCCCCACCGACGACGACTCCTTCGGCATCGAGTCCGTCTCCAAGGAGATGTGTTCGAGTTTGAACATCCCCTTCCCGTTGGAGAACAACATCCACTGGAGATCGCTACCATCTTCGCCGTCGTGGACCAGAGTAAAGACCAGAGCAGAGCTGGCCTCCCACATCGTTAGAACTGCGCACGGAGTCATGGCAGGAACCAAACGCCGTTACGGTGACATCGACGAAGGGAAGAAAGTGGAAGTGAAGATGGTGATGAACATTGCAAAGAAGACCAGAGTTGGAGAGGGAGAGTATCAGCAGATATGCAGGGCGCAACAAGAGGGACAGGCAATTGAGGACCTCGAGAAGTTTCTGATCCGCTGCCAAGAACACCACGCTGCTTCCACGCGAGGAAGATCAGGATATGAGAGGACGTCAGTGGACGAACTTAAGCGTGTGGCCGAGGAGCACGTGACGAGGGTCGAGAATGGTGTGCTGATGACTGCGTCGGATCGAGGTTCAATCATAGATTCGGTGGCTCGGAGGGCTTGGAATGAATGGGGGCGAGTGCTGGTTTCCAGACTCGGGAATGCTCTCACGGAAGTGGAGGCGGATTCGAGTGGTGGTGGGGAGTGCAGCATCTGCTTGGCTCCGAAAACGAATTCGGTTGTGGTACGATTGCCTGGTTGTGTGCACAGTTTTCACAGGGATTGCGTTTTTCAGTGGCTTGTTCACCACACACCCAACTGTCCTCTGTGTAGATCCTCTGTTTTGCCATCTTTGTACCGCCGTTAGATTTTGTTTATATTTTTTATTGAAATGTAATATGTAAAGACTACTACTGAGTTTTGAAAGATTATGTTGGATGACACTGCTGAAATGGTGAATGTTGTTCATAGTGTCATCTGTCATGACTGATAATGTGGTGGTCTTCAATTAACAGTACAAAAGTAAGGATTTTCTGAGTAGCATCTCTTAAATGGCTACATGGTTACAAAACCTGTAAAATTCCCTCTTCCACATAACATTCATCTCAATGAATCATACGAAGAACGAAAAATTCATTTCTAATACTATAAAATTAACTTATCTTTACACTGGCAATGCATATTTCACTACCAACCCTCCGGAACCTATTCTCTTTTTATGCATGGTTCTTCTACTTCTCTGCTTGCCAAATAGTTTACTACTAAAACAAGACAAAGTTTTCATAAACAAGCTGCTCGACTGAGCTAAACTTATAGCATCTGAGTTGAGCTTCAAGCTTTCCTATTACTAGATACAGCTTGTAACCAGAAATTCCCGTTATTTGAACACTAGTTTATAACCCGGCCCGTTGGCTGGAATGTTTATATTTTAATACTAATATTTTATTATGTTTAAGTCTATTAATTCGTTTAAGTTTATTGAAAATAATTCAATCGAGATGCTACATAAAGAATGAATATATATGTCGAACATTCAGGAAAATACTCTCATCATTTAAGAATATAAAAATATATTATTAATCCCATTTTCATAATGATAATTGAGCCCCCATTAAAATGATATTGGTTAATAGATTGTCCAGAAATATATATTATAAAAGCTCATTGGAATTCCCACACGATCCATAGATAGTTTGAAACTGAAATGAAACCTCACAATCCCACATAAATGGTTCAAAGCTCTCCTCTATAAATAACATGCCACTAATAAAAAAGAAATGGATTTATAAAAAAAAAAACAAAAATGAAGAGTTGTTGATTCAAGTAAATCATATGCTAACAACTCAACTAAAAGGAGTCCATCAAAAATTGAGAGCAAATGACAAAATTAAAGTTAAATCCAATATACTAATAGACTCGATCAAAGTAATGAGGCACAAAATTAGACACTCCTTATCAACAGGTTCTAGTAGTTTGAATAGTGAATCGACCTTAACTTTAGTAAATCAATCATTGATTCCTCGGTTTAACATAAACATAGGTTATGGTAGTTGCAACAGCCATAACACCTAAAGATCCAATAGTTTCCACTCTCTGTTGTACAACCAACTTTTTATCCCCTCCATTTTCAATCTCTCGACGTATATGTTTTAAACCAAAATTCAATTTCTAATCCTCCTTGTGCGACTTTGATGGACCTTCTCTCCATGAACCTGAATTTCTCTTTCAACTGAGTTTCTTGTCAGCTTGATCTCCAACTCCTCAATCCTCTTTCTTGTATTTGGCTAACTCATCTACCTTGGGGCAGTTTTAATAAGCTCGTAAAACCAACACTCATCTTCAATTCCATCAATATGCTCTTCTCCTCCTTCTCTGCCTCTACTTGATCCAGTTCACTTCCATGCCCTTCAATACCCTCTTCATTTTCATTGATATCTTGATCATCTACCACTTCTCTCTCTTCAACTGCTCCGATTTTGCTTCTATGTCTTTCAATATCCTCCTTGGTTCAATCACTACCCTAACCAACTTCCTCTTCACTGCCTTCACTTGCTCCAAACTACTTCCATGACTTTTTATAAACCTTCTTCAAAATCACAATCAACTAACCAATATCAATCCATGGCCTTGGATCAATTTTAAACTCTCTATGAACATCTTAATGCCACAAAGTCTAAATCTAAATATTCTTTCAGTTAATCATGAACTTGAGTTTATCAAAATCTAATCAACTCCTTCAAAGTTGGAATTCCCATCCTTTGGTTCATTTGATCCCACATAACCATGATATTATACCTCTAACTAAAATAAATCAAAGCATTTTTCGAAAAGAAACCAAACCATGAACTTTACCTGCTACCAAATTCAAATACAATTTCTTCCTCTCACCACTTCCTTGCCCAATATCAACTTTTACTCCAAGTTCACACCCCCAACTCCCAGTGTGTTGCGTGAAAGCTTCATTTTAGCAATCATTATGCTTGCCATTAGATTAATGGAGCCCAGCAAGCGCCAAAATTCCACCAAACGATGAGTTGTCTTCACTTTGAGTTTTTTCATAAAACTGCTGGCCTGATATGTTAATCAGTTTGGAGACCATATGATGACCAATACCGAATCAGTTGCAGCGAAGTTACCGATCACAGTAATGAAAATGTGAAACATGTGTTAACAAACGCGAATATGGGTTACTTTTATGGATTGACATTAGAATGATGGGATTGGACAATGAGATCGTCCTTAGTTAAGCGGCATGTAAATTGGTTCATTTGATATGGAGGACACAAACCGTTAAAATTCTAAATTATTTGGGTGAGTTTGTATTTAGTGTTTTCAATGAATCACATGAAAAATGCTCAAATAGCAAAGTCAGGATCATCCTTCTCGTCATGTGGTTAAAGATCAAGTATGGCAAGTTCACCTTCTCGTCTAACAATAGGTTGGTGAGGAGCTCAATGTCGAAGTAGGTGACTGTCTCCCGATGTCTACCCTTTGGCAGAATGTTGTAGGAAAGCATGTTGTGAAGAACTCTGGCTTGAACTATCAGGTGGTTACTCGTTGGCCTACTGTGACCCTGAGCATCTTCCTCTTCATCAAGACCACATACCGTCTGGATTTGCTTGGCTCTCGAGAAATGAGTTTCATTTCAAGCAGTGTAAGAATCGATTCTCTTCCCCTCATTTGGAGCCTCTAGTACTTGTGCCAACACATTCTTGCTGATGCGCATCTCCACCCCATTCACATAGGTTTTAAATGCAAGAATGGATCCATTTGCATTACACTGGTAGACGATGTTGTTGTAGAAGTACTATACCATTTTTGGGTAGTATGGTGCATTCAGAGATATCACCTTCAGCCACTCTTGCTCGACAAAGGGTCCTAGGAACCCGTAATTCTCGAAATGAGAATACGCATCCATCGTCAATGGCCTTCCAGGAGCCACCCTGCGGTTGTGCACTCTCCTCTCTTCAAAGTTGTCACTTTGCTCCTTGGTCTGGAATAGAGTGGGATTGAACTCTTCCCATTCTGAACTTGAGACAACAAATTTTTGTGACTTTCTTTTCTTTTTGTTGCCAAACATCCTGCGATCAAACAAGCGAGAACACACGTTAGTCAAATTTTCGAAATGAATAAAACTCGATCGACCTCTCCATAAAGCGGTCGACCTAAAACTAAATGTATAGATAAAACAAAAAAATGTTAGGTCGACCTCTAAAACATCATAGGTCGACCTAATACACACCAATTGTCGAACACAGAAAATCAAGCACAATTATAGTTCAAAGATGGACAAAATTAGAGTGCAAAACATCATAGGTCGACCTCCCAATCAGACACGGTCGACCTCATGTGCCTGGAAGAATAATCATCATGCACCTCCATGAAACGCATCCCCTCCAGTGCTTCATCAATGCCCTGAACAAAACATTGCAAGCTGTATTGAGTTCCCACATACCCATTTATCCAATGGTTACATGACTCACATCGCGAGGTTGATTGGAGTCCACCAAAATAAATATCCTTCAAGTATGCCTCTGCCCACAGTAATTTGTCAGCATACAAATCCTGCAACCACTTATTTGCAGACAAACCATGCTCACTAATCAAATGCTCCCAGCGTCTCTCAAACTCCTCAACGATATACGTGCTTTTGCCAAGTAGGTGAATGTGCTAACAAACTCCCTATTATGAACGACCGTTGTCGAATTTGTCACAATATGCCAAATACACAGACGGTGAGGCACTTCAACCAGAAGAGTAGCAATGGCGCCACGCATAGACTTGCATTCGTCTGTAATCACTGAAGTCGGCATCTTAGAGTTCATACACTCAAGAAAAGTATTCAATAACCAAACGTAGTTGGGGATTGTCTCGTTATCCAACTGGGCAAAACCATATATGATGTTACAGTGGTGGTGATTTACACCAACCATCATAACAAATGGTCGGTTGTACTTGTTGCGCTTGTAACATGAATCGAATGCAAAGACATCCCCAAAAAATGGTAATCTGCTCTAGATTTGAAGTCTGACCAGAAGAGATTGCTTAATTCCCCTTCATCGTTGGTTGTGTACTTGAAGAAGCTTCCTGCATCAGAGGTATGTTTACTTTGCAAAGAACCCAATGTTTAGTTAACATCTCTTATTAGATCGTCGTCAACTGTTCGGGAATTCTGAACAGCGTTATCCAAATCCTTTGGAGTGTACCCCAGATTCTCATATCCTCTAACTTTATTCTTCATGAACTGAACAATGTTGCATTGTTTTATTCCTGACTGTCGCATCCCTATCGCCAGAGCCTTGTCTCCTTCACTCACATTTCGATGAGACTGAAGGAATTGAGTTTCTTCTTCATTGCAGCAACGATGTGAGTGCTTCCTCTCAAACTTAGAAACAACCCACATTTTCTTATTCCGATCAAAGTGTACATTATATGATGCCTTGCAAGAATGTCTAGTCATCTTACGATGTTGTCGTGTTCGACCTTCTTTATCTATATGCATCTTCTCTCTAGTCCCCCTCTCTCGAACATACCATTGTCCTCCCAATTGCTACTCCTCGACGACTCCTCCGAAGATCTCTACGTCGAACGGTAAACCCTTTCGCTTTAGCATAGACATTATAAAATTTTTCTGCATCTTCTAATGTTTGGAACTCCATGGAAGGAATTTGTTGTTCATATTCAGTAGCTTCTTCATCATCCATAAATTCTTCTTCAACACCATCGGTTTCATTATCATCCCCAACCACTTCATCATCCATATCATCTGGATTATCCATAAATCCTCCTCGAGCATCCTTAGGTTCCTCATCGAAGTTAACCTCGTCATCATCTCTATCATCTGTATCATCTCTATTATCCATCCTGCAACGATCGGAATACGAATTGAATGTCAAATACATACAAAATTAGCTCTCATCAGGTCGACTTGAATGAACTGTACGATTTACCTTATCACCAAATAACACAGATGAAGTCGACCAGAATTCACTGTATGGTCAACCTTATCATATAATTACACTGATACGGTTGACCGGAAGGTTGAGATGGTCGACCTAATTAGGGAAAAATTGAACCACAGTCAACCTTTAACCAGCACACACGACACATACCTTAGCAAACACGGTCGACCACTTATTGTTACGGTCTACCGGAATAAGAATAAA